TCGATGGACGACATAGGCCAAAATAAAGGAGAAAACATCATAAAACCCCCAGTTTTACATGACAGACAGAGTTCAATTAGGCGACTTTTGGACATGGATCGATCAACTTTGATCGAAAACACTGCCATTCGACTCGCCGTAGTCGAAAACCTGTGCGAAAACTTACTGCGAAGTGAAATTGTGCAAGTCATATCATCAATTTTCTGCAAAAATAGGTCTACTTGGGATCGATCCCGTTTCTTTAAAGATGGATATCGAAAATTCGGGTTAGTGCGATTCTTGTAGACCTTCAGTAGACGAATCTAATCCATAAAAAAAATATGATCCGAAAGCATTATAAGTCCCTACTTGAATGTTCGCAAGAAAGTCGATATACCCAAGCTTCGAAAACATCACACAAAAAATCTTGGGAGGATGTCGTTTTGTAGCCCTTGACTTGCTCTATCTACTCTAAAAGTTTCACTTCTCCACCATCGAACTATCAAAAGTTATTCAAAAAATGGCCACCCTTTTTTTATTTTGAAACGGGTATTAGTTCTAAACTGATTTTTGATTTCCAAGGTATCACCTAAAAGAGCGTGGAAAACTGTATTAGAAACTGTGTTTTATTATATATTTTAATCGTATAAAGTGAAGATAGTAACTTCTTCTAGACATATAAACTATACCGATGTTCTACAAAGTTTATCGTAGTTTGTTCAATAACTGTAGAAAAGAAGGATGATTTTACTTGAAATTTTGTGTGTATATATTAGATAATATGGGCTACAATATGGACAAACTAGGGTCATTGCAGTTCATATAGTAGTCGAAATATGAGCTCATCGAAAAAGTTTATTCTGCTTGTTGATCAATTTTGGTACTCACTATATGTGCAACACGAAGGAGACGAGTCCGAATGAATCACATCCTAACAAAATGCTAATCATACAAAAAAAAAACGTTTTTTTTCATACAAACAGAAGAGTAAAGGAAATGTAACAGTTAAATCGGTACTTATCAATGAGTCGAGAATACGACTTGGTGATCGGCATTTATTGAAACGACCAGATAACATGACAATGAAATTTTCTGCACAACTTGGATGATAATAAAACTTCATTAAAAAATAAAGTATTCTTTCAAGTTGAAGTACTTTTTGAATCAATCGTTTCGTTGATGTATTATTGAACTAAACAAGAAACAGGCACATAAAGAAGAATAGTAAAATATCAACACGTGAACTTACTATTGATTCTGGAGTAGTACATTCAAAATCGAGACATGACGTTGTAATTTCACCGATAATAATTTGATTGGCTCGGAATTCTTTTTCTTTTTCTTTTAATATTGTGTATGAAGTGTATGAATCAACAGGATCAAAATTTGGTGATGTGATAGAAGGAATATAGGTGTTTGTTTGAAGATGTGCAAAACCAAACAGATCGATTTGAATACAGTCTGGTCGACAACAAGGTCGAATCGATCGTGGATAAGTTTTTAACCACAAATCTTCATATTCCCCTCGAAATCGTAATCCAAATGCAGCAAAGAGACGATGCATCTGATTGGAAGTGGATGCTGAATATGTTCGACTGCACAATGGTTCGGGAAGGTCAACGAAGAACTTACGTTGAATGACATTGATTATACGATCAGATGATAAATATTCATAGATATCATCTAATTTCTGATTCATTTGGACAAATTTGTGATCCATTTGGTCAAATTTGAGATCCATTTGGTCAAATTTGTGATCCATTTGGTCAAATCGACGAAGAATTTGTTCGAATTGATCTTGAGAATACTGACGATGGACCACTGAATCTTCGTGTTTAATATCTAATGAAGGAAAGAAATACAATTATTAGAACCAAGGAGTACCATGATTTCACATGTAAACATCAAAACGTTTTTCATAATATGAAAAATTATGGAATTTTTTGAATCTAAATTTATAATGTAACGACATATACAACAACATATAATAATAGAGATATAAAAAGAAAAATTTCAAGTTTATGATTGATTTGCTGAGGATGGACATAGTGATATGTTCGAAATATTCATCATTAACACCAATCTGAAGAAAATCAATCATAAACTTGAGATTTTTCTTTTTATATGTCTATTATTATATGTTGTTGTATATGTCGTTACATTATAAAACGTTTTTCGAGGAAAAGATCTAATCCATAGATAGACTTGTTTTTTTTTCTAATTGTTTCGTAGGATTAGTACAATAATAGATGATTCTGAAGGAATTACCAATCTCTATTCTTACTGAAATGTCGTTCTGCTTCTATGACTGTTCTCTGGAACTGAATTCGAAACGCAAACTTGACTCACTAGACAAGCATCATTAGAAAATGTTCTTGTTAACCATAACTTAAACGTCAACATTTGAAACTACGATGGTGATTTATTTGCACTCAAGCAAATCTGATAGGCACGAAATACAATCCTCAGTTCAGATCTTCTCGCAAATCATTGAAAAATTTCGAATACTCAAGCATATCTACTCGAGTTGTTATTTGAAAATTCTTTAAAAAGAGTTTTTCATCAAACCCTTCTTCATTCCATTCTAACCTGAGACTAACTCGTAGAAATAGCGTTTATGACGGAAATGTGCTGCTCATTCACCGACAGAATCTCTTGGAAGATCTAGCTAGCAGCTCTCGAAGGGATTCATACAATCTCGACGGCAACTTTGACTTGATAATTCGATAGATGAACGCCAATCAAGTCAAAGATTTTTTACTTTTGGAATGTTTTGTTAAACGAGGATCGAATTAATAGTATCCGATCTATTGTGGCAAGAAAATCAGATCAAATGAAATTTTAAAGTCTGTCGAAGCTCATCAACAAATGAAGCAGAAATAAAGGCAGTAGTTGATCGATTTGCTCTAACAGATAGCCAAAAATATCAATCAATAGTTGCACTTACGAGACTTCATAGATCAATCTGGTGATCATGCATTCGAATCAAAAATCACCACTCACTATCTACTTTGATCCGGAAATAAACTCATTTTGAACCAAGTGAAAATTATGAAATGTGAGATACTAGAAAAACTTTGCCTTAAAAATCTGCTTCTTATTCTTTATCAGCTGGGAAAGTTTCTCGTGAAGTTCTGAATATGCGAGAAATCACCATCTGTCTTAGAATGAAATAACACAAATGAGCTAAACTTTTGCTTGAAGGAAAAGAGTTTTGTTTCTTCGAAGATTAAGTCAAATGTGGACTGACCTTTCTTGAGTAGATTGTCTTTCGATACTTCTTTATTATTATCACATCGATCATCAATTACTTCATCATATTCAAATTCTATATTGTCCAAATCATTTTCTTCAATGTATTTAGAATCACACCAGATTGGGACGTTCTGTTGATCACCTTCATTCGTTGTTGTAAGTGAAGGAGATGAAATGATGTTCACTTTTGATCGAATAAGTTCCGGTGTGGTCGTGATCTAGCAATGAATGAAAGAAAAAAGGTTAGAACTGATCTGTTATTCGTCGAATAGATCTACTCTGTTAATTGCACGAAAAAAATATAAATTTCTAGAAGAAAAGAACATTGTAAAACTGCACAAGATTAAAAAATATACATACCACGAAGAATATTAACAATAGAAGCAATCACCAACTGAACACCATCACGAAGAATATTGACCATAGAAATAATCACCAACTAAACAGCACCACGAAGAATACTAACAATAGAAACAATCACCAACTAAACACCACCACGAAAAGTATTACTTATCTAAAAGAATAAAATACTAAATAATTTTAATATATCAAGTACGATTGTGTATTATATGATATACAGTATGATTCATGGTCTGGTGTAATGGATTGGTTTAACGTTCATCATTTGTTTTTGAGCTACACTTAGTAAATACACACAAACCAGGGAAGAAGATTTTAATTTATCCTAATTTCAAAACCATTAATTAACCAAAGTGCGAAAGGCTTTTGGGTGTAGTAATTAAAAATTATATAGATGTCGCTAAATTTACATGGGTAGTTGAAGAGGCTTTCTATGACCGCATTATATGCAATGGCTCTCTTTTCTGTGGATTCGTTCTTTTGCATCTTATATTGAGAAAAATTTTGATCTTCAAGAAAGTTTTGAACTTTTCTTAACCCTTTGAGGCCAGTGGTACAAGGGTTGTATCACCTATGATTCCAATAAGAAAAATGTTTGTTCCTCATTAAACTATTGTAACTTGTACAGCACCATGTCCTAGTAGTGGCGCCAGGATTTTCATTCCGGGTGGGCTCAGCCCACCTATTTTGGAAACATTGGAAATGTAGCAAATAGACTTTTCGAGAAACAAATGATATGTATTCAATCTATATTTGCCGAATATATGTGCTGCAGAGCCATATATAGTCGGGCATAATTGATAAATGCCTTGGTAAAGAAAGCCTTTGACAACAATATCTTTATTATAAAAAAAACTAAAAAGTTTATATTAACGTAAAATGATTCTACTATCCTTATGATTGTTTGCAAAAGCATCTACCACTTGCTCAAAATCTATTTCAAATGAACGTTCTGTTGCTAAAACTGTTAAATCGCTGAGGCGATCATCATTCATAGTGTTTCGTGCATATGTCTTTATTAATTTCATCTTGGAAAAACTTCTTTCACATGTAACTTGAGATACTGGCATTGTTATTACAGCTTTAATCATTTGAATAGTGTTCGGAAATGCACCAGCCATCGGCAATAATTCATCCAAAAATTCAATAATATTAGTAACCGATTTACTTTTAATCATTGGTTTAATTACCTGAAATTCATTTTTAATTGCCTGTAAATCACCATCTATATGATCACAAAACATTTTAACATCACCAATATTTAGAAAATTTTCGCTATCTGGATAAACCGTAGAAAGACTTTTTAATAATGATAAGGTTTTAGCAGAAAAACGGTCTCTCAACTCAATCAAAATGCAATCGATTAAGGGATAGTATAAATTTTCACAAAAATCAATTGGTGTTGATAATACTTCACGTTGACCAAGTGTAGATGGAATTATACATTCTTCAAATCGAGCCGGAATAGTTGCTGTTCGACGTGGCCTATATTGCTCAACTAAATCAATCTTATTTAATGTACAAAATTCTGTAGCGTGACAATAAATATAATCAAATGATTGTTGATTTCTTAAATCTGCTATTTGTTGTATTATTGAAGATATAAGACATTCACTTCGAGCATAATCGAGCGATGGACCTTGAAAGAAATCGAAAAGTAAAATATTTTTATTATTGAGTAGTGGAAAAGAAAGAAGCACTTTTTAATTGATCACTAAGAATTGTAGTAATTCCCAATAGTTTTTGAAGTATAAATGATGAAATAGTAAAGATAGATTTCTTCAAGTGGACTAAAAGACCAGTCGCATTTATCGATCTTGTTCCTGAATCTTCTTCGATTAAATCTTGTAATGCTTGTATTAATGCTGGATAATTTTTAATAACAGATTCGATAGATTGCCATCTGGAATCTCAGCGAGTTATAGCCCATAATTTTAAAACTGAGGCTTGTGCTACAAACATAAGTTGAATAAAAAAAATAACAAATTGAAAGATAGTAAAGAAAAGCTTACTTAATTGTAAATCTTCTTGAGCTTTTTTAAAGAACTTATTGGTCACACCTGATTCGGTGAAAAACGAGTAAAGTGTTGATACAATAGAAAAATAATCATTCATATACGGCACTGCTTTGCAGGTGCCATTGAAAACCAAGCCGAGACGATGGCATGAGCAGTGTATGTATACACCTCTAGGCATATGGTTTTTTCTTAATAACACATGTACTCCTGCATTACATCCACTCATCACCGACGCTCTAGGGTTATGTATCAAAAAAAATGATTTTTAGCTATTGTCGTTAAAACCTTCAAGACTTACCCGTCGAAACACAATGCAATGCAAGATGCTAATGGTATATTTAAGGAAGATAAAAATTCGACAATTTTTGATGATAGAGTAGCAGCATCAAATTCTAACAAACGTATAAAACCCAAAAAAAACTCGGATACTACATTCTGCTCTTTAATCTGAATGTTTCCACAATCTGGTGTAAAACGTATAACAATAGACAGTTGCTGCTTTCCACTCACATCTTTTGATTCATCTACCATAAGCGCATACATTTGACTGTTTAACTAAAATCCGAGATATCAGCATTCTAATAAAAAATACACAATAATAAGGACAGTTATTACCATATTAGAGATCTTTCGTCGAATCTGGTTTGCCATAATATTCAACAATTCATTTTGAACATCATGACTAAGATATGTAGCATTGCTACTACTATCCTCAAAAATAGACTTTACAATTGGATCTGTTGAAGAAGCCCAACGCAAAATCTCGATAAGATTACCACGATTTGCAGACCTAAAACACCATAAATCATATATTTAAAAAAATTGAAAAAAAAAAGTAAATTTCTCTAATTCACAAATCTTAGACATTCTTTTTTACTATGAAATATAAAACTCATTTCGTCTCAATCTCAACGGTAATCTGTATTTGACGCTTAACTGAACAAGCTTATTTACTTTTCATTTTCTTGATGTCCTCAAAAAGCAATCATTTGTTTAGCTAATAAAAGTAGTGTTGAAGAAATTTTGATTAAACGATCACGATTACGTCGCACCAATATGCTTCTGCTATTATCTAATGAATTTATAACACTTAATTGTAATTGTTGACGTAATTTAAATGATTCAAGGTTTTTAGTAGTAATAACATGTGCTTGAGATTGTTCGTGTTTATGCAAACCACTTCCACTTTCTAATGCACGTTTCCAATTATTATAACCACAAGTAGTAAAAGCATCACCAATATTTGTTTTATATGAGCGAAAATGTCGACAATTGAAACAATAAATACGATCATTTTTCACAGAATATTCTAACCAATTTCTATTCACGAACCAACTTGATTGAAAAGAACGGTTTTGGAAGTTTGATGGATACGAGCTGAGTTTTGATTGCCTAGGATGATCATTACAAGATTTACTAATATCTTCTGGCATAGATTTATTTTCAAAATTTTGTGATACAGCTGTTATATCTGTTGTTTCCTCCATTAAAGAAGAAGAAGCAGAATGAGTTTAATCAAGAGAATCAGAACAAGGATTCTGTGATGAAGATGGTGGATCAAGAACAGCTGTCTCCTGTTGCTCTTCATTACGTGTTTTTTTATTATCTGGTAGAAAAAACGACTTGATCGTTTTTCGTTTTTCAGGTTGCATTTCACCAAATTATATGTAGAAGTTTTTTTTTATTAATAACTTTGTAAGCTATAAAGAAGAGAGAAGAAAAGGAAGAAATTTATTCATTAGTCAAGAAGATAGAACCAGTAGAAATAAACATAAATCAATTCTTTATTTTTAGTGATATAAGTAAGAACAGAAGATCGAAAAGTAACACCATCTTCTTTAAAAACATCAAGTTTATTTTAGATGAATTCAAAATTATCAGGGTGGACTTAACTTCCTTTCGGGTGGGCTTAGCCCACCCCAGCCCACCCCTGGCGCCGCCACTAAATATAGTGCCTCTCAGGATTTACGTAATTTTCGTCCAGAATGTATCAACTTGTACATAACAAACTATGAATGATGTGTATTAACTTATATTGTCATATTCATCAACATAGTAATGAATATATAAACAGCTATGAATTCATCTCAAAATAGTCTCCTGATGATAGAGTATATCATATTTGTACTCTTTAAATTTTCAAGATTTATCGATGAAAACAAAATTCATCATTATAAACATTTTGAACAAACAACTGTAATGTAAAAGCAATAATGATAGCAGTAGAGCATTTAATGAATGTCTTCATGTATTTCTCATTATATTTCTCTTGTGTAAAAATTATTCGACAGATACAACAATTTCATTTTGTTTTCAGTGTAGATATTTAAGTTTTTATAAAAATTCGATGTTGATTTTTTATTAGAAAATGATTAAACTATAGTTGCTTGAGAAATTGTATATTTTGTTTTTATTCAGATCTCCCATCTTACAGTTGTTGGTGTATTCTGTATTTCGATTATAGGTGTGTAGAGTGAGGCGTTACACTAAAAAAGAAAAAGAAAACATGCTGAATAACTTATTGGAATATTTTCTCGTTAAGAATAAATTCATATTCTGATGAATATTCGTTTTCTATGATTTTTTAAAGATAATTGATATTTTTATCGAGGGTGTGGGTATCAGCCTTCCATTCGTCCAGACTCAAACACACACTCACACCCACCCCACCTCACACTCACCCACACCCACCCACACCCACACCCACACCCACCCACACCCACACCCACACCCACCCACACCCACACCCACACCCACACCCACACCCCACACCCCGCCTTTGTTTATCATTTTTCTCAGAACATGCTTTCCAATCAGAAAAATTGGAACTCCTCCCTCCGGTCTCAGATTACATCCAATATATTTTTTTGTTTTAAAGGTCTCAACAAATCTAAACTTTTGTCCGGACGAATTTTTTAAAGTCCATTCCTGGGCCAAGAAAAGTGGAATTTACTGTGGTTGGACCACAATTTTTTATGCTGATACGCAGAACGGTGTGGGATGTGGGGGCGGGTGTGGATGTTTGGGTGTGGGTATGGGTGTGAGTGGGTATGTGAGAGAAAAGATACACTTCCACACACCTACATCCACATCCACACCCACCCACCTACATCCACATCCACAC